GGAAGGGTCACTAGACCCAAAACGTTAACTCTGATTTCTCTCCACAGATGCCACCAGGCCTGCTGAGCTTTTCCAGCAATTTCTGTTTTTGTTTCTGATTTACAGCATCTGCAGTTCTTTTGGTTTTTATTAATTTAGTAAACCTTCCCTGAACTGTTTCCAATGCATTACCATCCTTCTGTGATTACAGTGCCTAGTACTGTATACAGTACACCAGATACAGACTCACTTTGTAACTGAAGCATGATTGCCCTTCTCTTGCATTCAATTCCCATCACAATAAAACGTCACATTCTATCAGCTTTCTTGATTACTTGCTGTACCTGCATACTAACCTTCTGTGTTTCATCATTAGGACACCCAGATCCCTCTGCATCTTTGAACTTTGCAACTTCTCACTATTTAGATAACATGCTTTTGTTTCTGTCTGCCAAAATGGACAATTTGACACTTTCACCATAGTATAATCCACCTAAGATCATACTCTTATCTAACTCTGTCTTGAACAATTCAATAACTCCACCTTCCACTGATTTGTGGGGAAGGGAATTCTGCTCACAACTCTCTGACAGAAGGACATGCCTTTCATTCACATTCTGTGGGACTCCAACATTTTAATGGAATGATAATGCAAGAGGAGATCAGTCAGCACAGATTCCCCAGAGTGGAATGACGGCATGGAAATGGTTTGCATTATCACAAGATGTTGCACAAAGTTTGTGCTGCATTGAGTTTAACAGGATGAGGACAGGATCAAACAGCCCAAATTTTGTTGGTCAGGCACTTCATGGGATGCCCCGTTAATTAGACATTGTCCTGTATCCTTCGAATCGAAATTGTTTCGCCATAACTTGCTGGAAGTGTGAGCTAATAACAATGCAGAAGGAGTAACAGGACTCTCAGGTCCCTGATGAACAAACAGCGGGACCAACACTGCATCGAGCAGATTTTAGCAGGAGATTCACGTGGAGTATAGTCCAATGGGCTAGGCCAAATGGGCTGAATGGCCTGATTTTGAGCTGCAAATTCAAAGTAACTCTGCGTTCCTCAGAATGGACAGCTTCAATACATTACTGCAGAATCCAATAGGGAAAAGCCCATTGAGATAAATAACAAATATAGCTTAAAGAAGAATCAATGATACAAAGGAAATTGCAACTGATAATCCACATTCCGCTGCTAGATCTCAACAGTACACATGGTGCAAAGTTTGTTATCGTTCAGTACCTTAATGGGTGTCGTGAGAATGAGCCCAAATTCACTGTACAACTCGTCAGTATCACACTGTCGGTAGTCTTCAGAGCTTTCCAGAAATTTCTCGATTTCTTGCAACGCTCTCTTTGCTCCTTCCTGTGACTGACACTTGTCCATGCGCTGAGAGGCAAGGAGATAAGCACCTTCGTCACACCATTGCAGACCCTGTAAGGACCAGAGCACCTTCATCACACCATTACAGACCC